AGAACTTCAGATCTTATGCATATTTTAATAATTTGGATAGTGTACTCATCTGATACTTACTTTTGATTTAGAGTCTGAAAATCTCTCGAGTAATTTCAATCGACTGCTATTCAGCTTTGTGAGATATCTTATTTTCCTATTCACTATAGTTTCTACATAGCTGTCTCTCGAACAATGTTCATGCGTACACATTTTTTGGCTTACAAAACAATAAAAAAACATGTAAAACAAGCAAAGTTAGATACACCAAAATGGTTCCAACTAAACAATGAACTAATCTAATCGATGATTTACATTTCTACGCTGTGCTTGTTTGGATAAATTGACCGTCTATTACCTTCAGAAGATTATACGCTTGAGACTGAGCATGTACTCCAGATGAGATTCTATTCTGTGGGAAGGGAAGCTACAATATTGAAAACAAGCTATATTTGATGCATAATGCAATATGTGACCATAAAACAGGTGGGAATTATACAATTATTATCGAAGATTTCACATGTGTAAAATAAAAAGAAAGCTTTTGTTGTGTAAAGTTTTTATTTTTTTTTATCAATTCGTTATATTTGATCTCAACTTTTCTCTTATTTCAATTAGCTTCCACTTGTTTTATTTTTGGAGCTAAACATTTTTCCGCATCATTTATCTCGTAAAAATCTAAATATTCTATTTATTTTCTAGGACATTAGAAACTTATGAATATCAATTGGACATTAATATCAGAAAGAAGAATCGACTTAATGGTAGATTTTATGAAGCTGATTGGATACCAATAAGGGAACCACCCATTATTCTAATGACCATGAATAAAGAAACAGCAGAACATAAAGCTTCATGGTATTTAATGCTCAACTCCCATAAGCATATTCTACATACTTTTGGTTTCGTTGGAAATAATGAACAATTGTCTATGTTATTGCAAGAACGTGCTATTCGTGGCAACCTTCAAAAATTATTACAAGATAAATGTTTCCAACCATCAACTAAAGTTCTCATTACCATATTCTTCCAGGTTCTAGATGCTATAATTTACATAGGTACACAAGGCATCATAGTGGATAATTTATGTTGTTCAAATGTTCTTGTCTTTCGAATGAACTCAACAAAATCATCAGAAAATCTGGTTAAACTAACTAATTTTAGTATGGCACGTAAAAAAGATTCTTCATATGTAGATAACAGACCAACAACTATTCCAATACGATATTGTGCTCCTGAAATTCTCAATAGTATTGATCAATCAAATTATAGTGAAGCATTCGATGTTTATTCATTTGGTGTTTTACTATGGGAAGCTTGTTCACATGGAAAAATACCTTATGGATCTAATACAAGTGATAGTAATGTTCGACAAAGAAGACTAGATGGTGAAGAATTGCTACAGCCAAATGAGTGTAACAATCAAATATGGTCTATCATCCAATGTTGCTTGTATAGAACACCGGAAATACGTGACACTATGGAAAACATTCAGTCGAAGTTTTTAAAAATTGATCTCGAGTAAGTAATATAGCTATTGATTGGGTTCGTTATTAATAATCGATATTGCTCTGAGTAAAACTACAATTTGCATCTATTTTTCTGATTCATCAACAATCCTCTATATTAAACAAACAATATTCATAGATTTTTAGCTTGTCTCTATATCTGATGTAAAATTGTCAATGATATTCATTACCAATGAGATGATAATTCATAATACGTATTATAACATTTTTCTTTAATATAGCCATATTGATGATACTCAGCATGAGATTAGTCAGAAACAACCTGTGAGAAATCCAATAGCAAATAACAAGGTTTAGCCTAAACTATTACTCACACTTTATAATATTTTCTTTTCAAGAGACTGTGCGAATCAGAGCCTGCGTCTACCGCTCCCCGTAAAATGTATGAAAGCAATTATTCTTTAATATTATATATATATGTCGTATCAAAGTTACACCGGTCGACAAAGTTATAACTTTGACAAAAATTTCGTCAAAGTTACAACTTTGACGAAAATGTTTGTCAAAGTTACAATTTGTACATTTTATCTTAAATTAACTATTAAATTGAATCTATTATTTCATTTTATCTATGATCATAACTAAGCTTTTGGTAATAAATATATATTTTTATTTAACAAGCTTGTTAAATAAAAATATATATTTATTACCAAAAGCTTAGTTATGATCATAGATAAAATGAAATAATAGATTCAATTTAATAGTTAATTTAAGATAAAATGTACAAATTGTAACTTTGACAAACATTTTCGTCAAAGTTGTAACTTTGACGAAATTTTTGTCAAAGTTATAACTTTGTCGACCGGTGTAACTTTGATACGACATATATATATAATATTAAAGAATAATTGCTTTCATACATTTTACGGGGAGCGGTAGACGCAGGCTCTGATTCGCACAGTCTCTTGAAAAGAAAATATTATAAAGTGTGAGTAATAGTTTAGGCTAAACCTTGTTATTTGCTATTGGATTTCTCACAGGTTGTTTCTGACTAATCTCATGCTGAGTATCATCAATATGGCTATATTAAAGAAAAATGTTATAATACGTATTATGAATTATCATCTCATTGGTAATGAATATCATTGACAATTTTACATCAGATATAGAGACAAGCTAAAAATCTATGAATATTGTTTGTTTAATATAGAGGATTGTTGATGAATCAGAAAAATAGATGCAAATTGTAGTTTTACTCAGAGCAATATCGATTATTAATAACGAACCCAATCAATAGCTATATTACTTACTCGAGATCAATTTTTAAAAACTTCGACTGAATGTTTTCCATAGTGTCACGTATTTCCGGTGTTCTATACAAGCAACATTGGATGATAGACCATATTTGATTGTTACACTCATTTGGCTGTAGCAATTCTTCACCATCTAGTCTTCTTTGTCGAACATTACTATCACTTGTATTAGATCCATAAGGTATTTTTCCATGTGAACAAGCTTCCCATAGTAAAACACCAAATGAATAAACATCGAATGCTTCACTATAATTTGATTGATCAATACTATTGAGAATTTCAGGAGCACAATATCGTATTGGAATAGTTGTTGGTCTGTTATCTACATATGAAGAATCTTTTTTACGTGCCATACTAAAATTAGTTAGTTTAACCAGATTTTCTGATGATTTTGTTGAGTTCATTCGAAAGACAAGAACATTTGAACAACATAAATTATCCACTATGATGCCTTGTGTACCTATGTAAATTATAGCATCTAGAACCTGGAAGAATATGGTAATGAGAACTTTAGTTGATGGTTGGAAACATTTATCTTGTAATAATTTTTGAAGGTTGCCACGAATAGCACGTTCTTGCAATAACATAGACAATTGTTCATTATTTCCAACGAAACCAAAAGTATGTAGAATATGCTTATGGGAGTTGAGCATTAAATACCATGAAGCTTTATGTTCTGCTGTTTCTTTATTCATGGTCATTAGAATAATGGGTGGTTCCCTTATTGGTATCCAATCAGCTTCATAAAATCTACCATTAAGTCGATTCTTCTTTCTGATATTAATGTCCAATTGATATTCATAAGTTTCTAATGTCCTAGAAAATAAATAGAATATTTAGATTTTTACGAGATAAATGATGCGGAAAAATGTTTAGCTCCAAAAATAAAACAAGTGGAAGCTAATTGAAATAAGAGAAAAGTTGAGATCAAATATAACGAATTGATAAAAAAAAATAAAAACTTTACACAACAAAAGCTTTCTTTTTATTTTACACATGTGAAATCTTCGATAATAATTGTATAATTCCCACCTGTTTTATGGTCACATATTGCATTATGCATCAAATATAGCTTGTTTTCAATATTGTAGCTTCCCTTCCCACAGAATAGAATCTCATCTGGAGTACATGCTCAGTCTCAAGCGTATAATCTTCTGAAGGTAATAGACGGTCAATTTATCCAAACAAGCACAGCGTAGAAATGTAAATCATCGATTAGATTAGTTCATTGTTTAGTTGGAACCATTTTGGTGTATCTAACTTTGCTTGTTTTACATGTTTTTTTATTGTTTTGTAAGCCAAAAAATGTGTACGCATGAACATTGTTCGAGAGACAGCTATGTAGAAACTATAGTGAATAGGAAAATAAGATATCTCACAAAGCTGAATAGCAGTCGATTGAAATTACTCGAGAGATTTTCAGACTCTAAATCAAAAGTAAGTATCAGATGAGTACACTATCCAAATTATTAAAATATGCATAAGATCTGAAGTTCTGATTGCAGAAAAAATGAGAGTTTCTCCAAAGTATGATTGCTTCTTAAACCAAAGTGCCATAATAAGCGAGGTTTAATGTATCCATATTTTAAGATTCACGATGTGTCAATAACATATGAACTTGTAAACGCGAAAATCAGTATAATAGTTGGTTCTTGTGTAACTATCATAGCTCGTACCGAAGCTTTCAGACAGAATGAAAACTTCCATTTGTTTTATTCTATGCACCTATGTGCTATTATATATCATATCATCATTAAAGGTTGATTTTACTTACTCAATGTTGACATCAGATAGCCGCTTCATCATGTCATTAAAATTGTATCGTAATTGTGGCTCAATATACCAGCAATCTTCTATAATGCTCGATATTTGTTTGTTCCATTCATTTGGCATTGGTAATTTCTCACCCTTCAACTTTTGTCGTCGAATATCATTCTCACTTGTATCAATTCCATAAGGTATTTCTCCTTATGAACAAGCTTCCCACATTAAAATACCCATCGAATAAACATCGGACAATTCAGAATAATTTGATTGACTCCTACTTGCAATTATCTCTGGTGCAGCATATCGAATTGAAATAGATGTTTGTCTATTGTTTATAAATGAGGGATCATTTGGACAAGTTAAAGCAAAATTTGTTAGTTTAATAAGATTTTCTTTTGTCTCCAATTGATTCATCTTGAAGATTAGAACATTGTCGCAACGTAAATCACCATGTATAATATCTTTCTCAATAATATAAATCATAGCATCAACAATTTGTGAAAAAATTGTCACTACTTAGTATTTTTGTTGATGGTTTCAATATTTGCCTTTTTAATAATGTTAGAAGATTGTCATGTGGAACACGCTCTTGTATTAACATTGTCGATCGAGGATCATTTTTTACTACACCAAATGTATGAACAATATGTTTATAAGAACTAAGCTCAATATAAAATGAAGCTTCACATTTTGCTGTTTCAGTATTTATTAGAATTAATACAATCGGCGATTTCTTCTTTCTCATCCATTCTGCATCATAAACTATTTGTCCAGGTCTACCATACAGTTGATTATTCATTTTAACATCAAAACCAGGTTCATATTGAAATTGTGATCTTTAAAATGAAAATCAAACTTCATGTTCTTAAGGATAAAAATATTCATAGTCGTTTGTTGTATTACTGTTCATCCCAAAATATCATGTCCTCCGCTGTTTTTTCAATCATTTTTGGTAGGAACATTATAGGGATCTACGATTTTTATCGTTCAAGAGAGATGGTTTGGAGCCATCGAATCGTGTTGAAACTTAATTGATCACCAATTGACCGATTAGGTGAGTTTTGGGTAGAGATTTTCGAAAACGATATTCTAAAGTTATTGTCCTTCAGATTTAAGCTTTTAATAGATCTAATCAATAGCAAGGCTCTTTTCTTTTGATCTACGCCAGGTTGGCATTTCCAGCTTGTTCATTTGAGAGTTATAGAACTTTTTCTGAAATACCCAATTTCAGCCAATTGACTCGTGATTACTAGAAACAGCAAGTAGGCTGCAGTAATTCATTATGGGGAGTCGAATGGTTTCAATTTACAATGATCTGGCACTGATATCTCAATATTTCCAAAATGCTGACTATTTCGTTACATGGAGGCTGGTGGTGAAATTTCAGAATTATTGAGATAACGGTGTTAGATCATTTTTTGAATCTAAATCATTCAATTCACCATAGTGACTAACCCCTGTCTACATGCTTTTTCTAGGGATCACAGGTAAATGGTCGGAAATAGGAGGGTTCAGAGAAAGTCTTATAACTCTCAAATGGAATAAGCCAAGAAACTATATAATTCAATGAATCTCGGTCGTCTCTCTTGAATAGTAAAAATCGCAGATCCCTATAATGTTTCTATCAAAAATGATTCAACAAACAATGGAAGATATGATATGTTGAAATAGAAAGTAGTTCAGTTGCGTAAATTCAAGTGACTTACTCAAGATTAATGCTTGACAGTTTCGTTTGCAGAACTTGAAATTTATATCGTGATTCAGGTTCATTTTCCCAACACTTTTTAATAATAGGCCAGATTTGTCTATCACACATCCATGGTCTAGGTAATATTTCACCATTTAATTTTTTCTGTCGAATTTCTTTGTTTGATATTGACGAGCCATAAGGAAGTTTGCCTTGTGAACAAGCTTCCCACATTAATATTCCCATTAAATAAACATCGGATAATTCAGAATAATTTAATCGGCCTGCACTTCGAAAAATCTCAGGTGCACAATATTCCACTGGAATAGTTAATCGTTTATCCTCTAATTTCGATGATATATTGGGTCGTGCTAAAGCGAAATTCGTCAGTTTAATAAAGTTGCCTTTAGGTTTAGATGAATCCATTTGAAAGACAAGAACATTTGAACAACATAAATTCCCATGTATCATACCTTTGTCGACGATATAAATCATTGCATCAATAATCTGTAAGAAAATATCGACGAGAACCATTGATGTTGGTTCGAATACATTGTTTTGTAGTAATTCTTGAAGATGGCCATGATGTGCTCTTTCTTGTAATAATATAATCGATCTGAAATTATTTGTAACAAATCCGAATGTGCTGATCATATGCTGATGATTGTCGCGTTCTTTGTAGAATAATACTTCATAGTCAGTTGGTGCTTCATTCATTTCAATCAAAACAATTGGTTCTGTCCCTTTTTCTAACATCCATTGGGCTTCATAAATTTTACGGAATTTGCCACCTAGTAAACCATTCCTTGACACATCAACATTAAGTTTAAAGGTGTAGCCTGTCGGTGGTCTTAAAAAAATAAACAATTGATCAATTCATTTTAAAGAGAGAGAGATGTTTTAAGAAAATATTAAATTACTCTTTGAATTAATTATGATTCAAGATTTCATCATGTTCGATAAAACAAATTGAATAGATATTGATGAATAAGAGCCTGTTAAATTTAGAATTAAGAAAATTTTCTTACTCATATGATGAAATTGGTTGTCGAACATCTGAGACTTCCGACGGTTCAATGACGGATAATCTTTCTTGAATTTCTTCAAAATTTGGTAGCCATTCTCGTTCATCTTCCCAACAAGATGTCATAAGAGTCCAAAGTTGACGATTACAAATAGGTGGTTTATTTAATCTTCCATTATCTAATTTAGCTCTTACAACTTAATTATCGTCAGCAATATATGAATAAGGAATTTCACTATTTGATAAAGCTTCCCATATTAAAACACCCATTGAATAAACATCGGATTTTTCTGTATAACTTGATTGACCATCATTTCGAAGTATTTCTAATGCACAATATCGTTTTGGAAAAATACATGAATTCTCAAAAATAGATGACCTATTAAGTGAACGTGCAAGACCAAAATCAGTTATTTTAACTAAATTATTTTTTACTACTAATGGATCTAATCGAAATACAAGATCATTTCGACAACCTAAATCACTATGTACAATCGATTTACTAGCAATAAAACTCATTGTATCGGCCACCTGTAAAAAGATTTCAACAAATATTATTTGTGATAAAGGAGTATCAAGTAATAATCCAGCTAAATCATTTTCTTTTGCATATTCTTGTACATAATATATTATTTGATTAAACTGATTTTCCATTGAACCAAATATACGAATAATATGACGATGATCATCCAATTCCTGATAAAAAAAAAGTTTCACGTTTGCCTATATCAGTAACCATTTCAACAATAATACATGGATCTTCTTTTTCTCGTATCCATTCAACACGTGAAATTATTTTATCATTTTTTCCGTAGATATGATGTTTTTTACGAATATCAATACCGAGTTGATAGGTTTTCAGTTCTAATTTCGATTGTATAGCCATTCTTGTTTCATTAAATTACCTTTGTATATGTAATCAATAGTGACATTACTAAAAGGTCAATGTCATCATACTGTACAATCTCATACATTATACATCCAAAAATACTTCTCGATGATGATTTTCAGATAAAAAATAGTTAAAATACTCAAGACGATTCTATTGTTTTCATTTAAGCAAATATTAAGAAGAAACCGATAAAAGAACATGAGTTCACCTTGATACATACTCAGCAAAATGCGAAATTAATGAATTATGACGAAAACAAAACTTGAGTATTAACTTTTCTTGTTTTATATCATAAAGTATTGGTTCGATCTTTCGAAAAAATGTTCTGAAGAAAGTCACTATGCCTTATTTCTTAATGAAGAGAAACGATAGAGTGAATTTGTTTTTGGTTCAATATGAAACTTACGTAAATAATTTCTCGATCTCAAATGAACTTCAAAACTATGATTATCTGACCATCGATTATCATAAGGCATTTAGCTTATCAATTATGACTTGATAGAAAGCTCTTTTATAGAATGTGCGAATAAATTTCCTGTAGCTAAAAAAAAATTATCTCAACTAGATGACTCATTTGGAATTCTGATGTTGACCAATTACAATACAATTAAAATATTGTTTGGAAATCAGTATGCCTATATATTTAAATTCTTCATAAGATTATCATCTGAACTAATAGAAATCATGTGAATAGTTATGTTTTCATTCACCTTACCATTCATTTCTTATGTCCTAACTTTTCAAAGTAGCCACTGTTGGAAAAACGACTTATCAATGTTATATAAATAGATTTCAAGACAAAAAAAAAGCCAACTGATTATTATGAAAGCATAAGCAATATTGATTAAAGTACACATGAAAACTCGCCTGCCTCTATTTTCTTTCTCAGATGTTTATTATTTTGTTTTTTCCTTTTCGTTTGTTCTGTTTTTTTGACAAAGTGATTTAAGACAGGATAGAAAGAAAAAAAAGTATGTTGTTCCCTTTTTACAACTTGCGCCGTTATATTGATGAAATTTGTTGACAGTAATGACGAAGAAAGCATGTGGATGCAATGGACGAGTGTGTAAATAAAAAAGAAGTTTGACCCACGCTCATACCTAAACCCCTAAATTTCTTCGAAGCTTGGCAAAGCTATCACTTCCAGTATGCAACTATTTCATTGATTTTTTTCCATCGCAAGATATATGTGAAGACCACTAAAAAAAGAAAAAAATTAACGTCATTGGTACCTGCTTTTGTCTCTTATTTCCTTGAAGAAAAATAGGACTTCATGTGAGCCATGAGCCGTGATTTC